TATTCGTATGAAAGTAGGGTTTCGAAACTATCTCATTACACTAACATTAATCTACAAAAAGAGTCTTCTAAATCTAGCTACTCTTTATCTCCGAAGCCTGAGTGAACAAGAAAGAATTCTTTTCTTCTCTCTATATTTCTTTTTGTTTATTACTTTCTTTAGATAAAGATAGATAGATAGCTATATATATATATATATAATTCAATCAACTAATCTATCTATATATCCTTCTATCTATCTCTATCTATTTATCTAACTATCTCTTCCTCTCTCTCTCTCTCTCTCTACTTCTCTATCTCAGGCTCTGAACTCACCTTGACGCCCCAGGGCTCGGTGGCAGTGTCGAGGATGGAACTGAGCGACTTGTCGACGAGTTCGCGGCCCGTCAACAACTCGTTGAGCGACTGGGTGCCGATCACATTCCGCAACGTGCTCACCGCCAACAGTTCCGCTGACCGCTCGACGTCCTTGACACGAAGCAGAGAAGCTGCAGGGTCAGTGATCCGCAAGTAGACGACTGCGTCCACGTTGACCGTGACTGCGTCGCTAGTCAACACCTCTTGAGGCGGAATGTTGACCGTTCGCAGACGAAGATCGGCCCTCATCAGGCTGTCGATGAAGGGCACAATGATGGTGATGCCGGGACCTATGACCGCTTTTTTACCGCGACCCTTCAGCTTGCCGAACCGCAGTAGAATGCCGCGCTCATAAGCCTTGATGACGCGCAACTGGGTGAAGATGAGTAACGGCGAGAGGATGATGAAGAAGAGAATGCAGAAAATGAAGAGAATCCACTCGCAGGGTGAATAACCTTCGTGGTTCTCGTGGTCGAAAAGCTCGCCCTGTGGTCCACCTCGGCTCTCCAAGTTGTCCATTTGTTCGGGATTCTGCACAATAGAAGGCATTAATTCACTTTTCCAAGTTGTTTCAACAAAATAGGCGGGCAAATAGAAGTAGAGTTCGACCCTCCTACGGACAGGCCTTCGGCAATATTCAGACTTCTTCAGTTGGACTATTCTCTTGTGGTCAGTTAGGCTTGGCAAACGGTTGAGTGTCTAATTGACTGTTGACATGACAACACTGATACCCACTTTTTGATTGGCTAATATTCACAAAATAGGCTTTTGGACCAGACACCTTTTATCAAGGTGTTTGTAGATGTAAGTCTGTGCGTATGTATATACGTATGTGTATGCATGTTCATTTGTGCTTGTGTGTGTAGGTATGTGTATGTGTGTGTGTGTGTGTGTTTGAGTGTGCATGAGAGGGTGGCTGCTTGAGGATGAGCGCGTGAAGGAGTGCAAAAGAAGAAAGAGGCCTCCTCTACCGCCCAAAACTGTTCCGAAATACAGTTGACTCATTTGTAAACTCAACTTCAATGCATTTTGGCAAAACAAAGGAAAGTGTAATGTGCAAAAGGATAGTGATACTAATCAATATTCATTGTAAACATGGAAAATACTTAAAAAATGATCAAGATCTGAAGTATAAACAATTGTGGTACTTACAAACAAGCCGGGGCTGATCAAGAAAAGTGTAATCACAATAAGGTAAACATTGTGAAAAATCAAGGGAACCAACTGGTCATTCGGTGAAGAGGATATGTTGACACAAGACTGCATTGAAGGAAACTCATTGCACAATGTTCCCGTGAACGGTAATGTGCAGCATAACCAGGCAATTATGTAATTCTATATGCATCGGCAAAAAGCCGGTCCGTGATGAAGGAAATGCGAGCGGTGGCCCTTTTAAGGTTGTGAATCACACTCTTATCGAAGAAGTGTTGGGACCTTCGAAAAATACTCACACTAAATAGAGGTAGTGTAATCGGTTATCACGGCGAA